CCTCAAGGGATGAATCCAATTTAAAGGCATACGCGTAGATCTGAAGATATAATATTAAAAAAAATATTTTGAAAAAATATGTAGACGAGCGTGGAATGGATTCAACTGGCTGAGGACAGAGACCAGAGACAGGCAGTTGTGAACACGGTAATGAGCCTTCGGTTTCCATTAATGTGAGGGAAATTTCTCGATTAACTAAGCCCTTCTCAAGAAGCCATGCGATAAGTCATGAAACACATGAAAACTGTTGTCATGGTTACACGCAGAGTTCTGTGAATCACGCTCTTACGTGGGCCGGCCTTCAGACTGTCGCTGGCCGTAGGACATCGAGCTCAGCCTACATCCGCATCTAGCACGTGGGTCGATGATTAAAATATTGAATACGGAATGAAGAGTGTGCCCTCAAGCGTCGAGTATCTAATTATCGGGTAAAATAAACTCTGGCGTGCATTTGGATGATGTCTTATTAAACGCGATGTTAGGACTCAACTGTTACAAATTACGTTCGTCTCGTATGACGCGACGTCGCGTGGACTTGTAAGCAGACACCAACGTCGTACTGCTGCCATCTTCAGGGTTGTATTATCAATAAAATGTCACTGTAAGTCCTGGTTTCACACCGAGTAATGACACAACACGTTGATTGTTTATGAAAATCTCCAAAATCGTTAAATTATGAGAATAATTTTAGTCATATTTCTTCTACCTCGACTCAGCTTTTGTTCGGCTGAAACAATAAGTTAAAATACGCGAACGGTGTGTTCTGAATACGGTTTAACATACTGTTGGGCTATTTTGACACAGAGCATACCTCATTTTAAAGAACACTAACAATTAGATGCACCATTTTTGTCAGTTTCTGTAGACAGGTTATCCTGGTCATTTTATACCAATAAATAATCTCCTCCACCTCTCGGAGCCATGCGCGTTTAAAACTTTTAAATCAAGAATGGACTGTAAGTTGAAACAGCCAAACTAATATATTCAGCAAACCTTTCAAAGACCACTGAACAAAATCGATTTTGCAATCACATGAAAGGCGACAAGCTGTCGAAAACTCATTTACAAAAAAAAAAAGTCCATTAATAATGGATGTATATTTTTAATTAAGTAAATGCCATTTCCAGGTTTGTAACAATCTTTAGCCCTGTATACGCCATTATGGCAAGCCTGTAGGTTGTATGCATTGTGGTTATCATGGTAACGAACCACAAATCAATTTATGCGCAATCTCACATTTGATGGTAGGATAAAATACGTGCAGTAATGGATTAAGAGTCAGTCAATAGATAAAACTGGACAGTTTTTCAATGTCTTAATATATTAAAATAAAACGTTATCTCAATACAACGTTAATCAATTCATTACGTATCCTGACAATGGAGGTTCCCGTCTGAGATTTTAAGTTCTCAAAGTGGTGAAAATGTTGACAGTGGTCTACTAGTTTGAAACGCCGTGTGGTCTCGTACGTGCTTACTAACGTTTCGAAAGTTCACCCTGAAGAAGGAGGCGATACTGTTTCAGCTGCTTCCTTCCGTATTTATTCGCGCTGGACACTTTACACACATGACGCATGCAGATGGGAAATCTGCGTTAAATAAACCAAGAAATAAACCTAAGAACTTTTTCTTATATGAAATGAATGTTCTTGTCTCAGAGTAAAAGGCCATATTTAACAGCTACTGAGAAACGAACACGTTAAGAAACGAAACGCAGAGACTCAATTACAAAAATCAACTGGTCAGTGTTCTTTGGTGAAATAAGGCACTGCGAACCACAACTAAGCCCATAAATAAAGCATATGAGCAAATAGCTGGCGTGTTTCGTGTTTCGTGTTTCCTAACGACCTACGACTAGAATAAAGCCAAGTTACTTCGGTCTTAACCCTGAATATCTGCCGGAGCCATATTTCGGTTTGTAGCTCGTCTCTCCGGATGTTGGGACAACCCTGCATATCATTTACTAACAGCGTCATTGTCCTTGTTTAATGGCGTTACAACCGAAAAACAGTAATTGTTCTTAGGGTATTATTGCCATAGAGTTCACCCGCATTTGGTGTAACGTGGGTATACAACCTAATGACCCCTAATACACACGGCTGACAGATGACACTCAAGCGTGTAAAAACAGAAGCATTTGTGTGCTATTGGAGCACTAAAACCCTTTGTTACTCGGTAAACACGGGTGATCCCCCATGAATGCTAGCTGCCACATCGCGAGACGCCTAACCATAAAGATTTCTAGTTTCATTCATAGACATGTTTGCTGTTAATTCGCAGGTACAGAACGTGGTGTGAAAAGCAAATGTCCAGGTCGACAGCTCCATATAATCATTACAGTTCACTAGACTCAAAACCCGGAGAGTGCTTTCATGTTAACCGTGTTAGCCCGGCTAACACTTCGAAAAAAAATAATAAAAGGCTCATTTTCGTGGTTCAGTGGGGCTTCCCCCACTGGGGCAAAGTAGAGCCGATCAGATAAAACGCATCTTTATTCAGCTCCAGTCGGCCGGGCGATGTTAGCCAGCTAGTTCAGGCTTACTCTCGCCGTGTTTCTGCGCAGGCGCAATTCGAACAGACGGTATATCGCATATAAATACCAATTAAGTCGAACGAGAGAGAGAGAGAAAGTGGGGGGGAGCGATGGGCACTACTGTTATAAATGGAGAGGGGGCATAAAGTTGGTTTGAGGCTACGAAGGTTCCCAGGCATTGCCCGCTCGTCCTGTTATGAATAGATTTAGGGATTTAGGGGACAGGATGGGGTAAGAAATGGTGAGGAGGAAGTTGATCTAAATGTCATTTATGAATCCAGTCCGTACCGCGAAGAAAACACAAGGCTTCACCATTACAAAATCAACTGATCGCGTCTAAAAATATTTAAGAATTCAGTCCGTACCGCGAAGAAAACACAAGGCTTCACCATTACAAAATCAACTGATCGCGTCTAAAAATATTTAAGAATTCAGTCCGTACCGCGAAGAAAACACAAGGCTTCACCATTACAAAATCAACTGATCGCGTCTAAAAATATTTAAGAATTCAGTCCGTACCGCGAAGAAAACACCACACTTAACCATTACTAAGATCAACTAGTTGACGGTGTTTAAGGAAATAATCGATGTTTACATTGAGAATCATAAGGAAAATACAAATACAAAATAAAGAGTTGTGGATTGTTGAAATAGGTGGAACAATATAGTTACCAATAGGCTTTTAAAAGGATAAACAAAGGGCCTAATACGTTATTTGTGTGGTCCCAGTTTTTATAGCTGGGAAGGCACACGTGGTAGAACTGCCATCACGTGAGCAGCTGTTTGCCTTATGGAAACAGGACGTGAAATTTACTGTATCAGCAAATGCCGTAGTTTAAATAGGCTCATCACCTGCACCTCACAAGACAAAGTTATTAAATCACCGCTCCCGCTATCATAAGCTATTCTCTCTGGCGTACTGACATTGTCTATTATCCCAGCACATCCTCCCGAGGCTAGAGTGCACAGACATCAGGCTGTCAATGTATTGAGTAACATCACCTTGCTGTCTGCAACAACGCACTAAGGGACTAGCAGCAAAACAGCTTTATAACTAACAAGTGTATGGAAATCTACTCTCGTTACCCATATTGGTCTTAATGGGATTACAACGCCGCGTAAACTTAAAATCTTTTCGGAGGAGCATACTGGCTACATATTCAACCCTGAAGATGGAAGCAATATTAACCACCGAAACGCTTATATCTGGAAGTTCACACGATGTTACAGTGCACAAGACCGATGTCAAAATCTTCACTGCTGTGAGGATATTCGGTCTCTGAGCCGGGATTTTAACAGTTCGATCGTTTTTTTATGGTAACTCGTGTTCTACAATAGGAATTCTTACGGTAATAAAAAGTTAAGACAGAAATATGCACGAAGGACAGAAACTGCCTACAAATTTTTGATTGAGAACCTCATGGACCAAAACAGTTTGCGGACCAAGACGATGAAGGGTGATATTTTAAAGACGATCGAAGCTAAGAAGGCTAGAAAAGCTGTGGATTGGAGTAATACAATGGCGTGGCCTTTTGTGATGGCGGTAATGAACATTCAGGTGTCATAACATGGAGACTTGGAACTGTTGAATATTTTGGGGTATGTTCGCAAAAAAGATCCTGTGCCCGTGTTGAGAAAAATACGTTCATGCACAACTGACGTGTGATCATCTGCCTCCATCGATGGTGTGTGGGATGTGAATAAAATGTTTCCCCTTACGACCTGCTCTTTTTAGGCTTCCTAAAATTTCCAAATACACGTTCACCCTGAAGATCGCAGCTGTAATGTTTGCCGAAAAAGTCGGAAAATATTTTCAACATCCACAAGAGTCGAAGCTGTATACTTCTTTATTCATCCGCTAAGATTTTGCGAATCTTGGATCATTCGTCAGTCGTCACTGTATTTCTCTATCTCTGGGCCTTCCCGGTACATTAACACATTTTCTACTTTGCTCCGATATAACGTCACGGCAAATGAACAGTCAGACTTTGTATTAACCTGCCAGAAAGCCTTCGTGAATCCGTGTGCTTTGTATTTTCCAGCCGAGCCGTTTACATGCATTTATTTAATCATGCAAAGATTTTTCACACTTATATTTATCAAACTCTTGATTGCGTCCACTCTGTCTCTACTTTCCAAGTAATATTTACATGTTCTGTGTCAACAGAGTTAAGAAATACCTGATGCTCGTTTTATTTATTTTAAAATAAAATTTAATCTACTTCTTTGGGCATAGCGACACAGCCATTTGCAGAGGACCCCACATTACGTATTCATTAAGTTTAAAAACATGTTCTTTTAAAAGCCCATTCGTTTCACAAATCAAATTTCATCTACAGACAATCATCCATTTACGTAAACATACACTTCCTCACAGTTTCATTTAATTATATAAGTATATGAGATCATTCATTCGTACGCGTCTCTGCATTCATTTGTTTGCAAGCTTCGGTCATTTTGTTACTCACAGGATTGTAGTTTCTGGTGGAACCTCCGGTACTTTATCCAGCTGCAAGAACATGCATCTCACTGTCGTACGGAAACACAGACATCTCGCTGGACACTGTGCCTCAGCCAGGCCTGTACAGAAGGCGGCTAGAAGAATGACAAATGCAAGCATCACACTCACGACGAAAGACGCGAGAGTCGACCTCACAGCGCGCCGGCCAGAACGCGACTAGATGCTTGGCACAGCCTTCTCTGTCTGTTTCGTCTGATCGCTACAGCGGCCAATGTCGCTCCCGACCGCAGCTGCCTGAGAGCGCTATTACGTGTTCCTCTCAGGAATTCCGTCAACACGACCGCATATTGAGCTGATCACGGATGGTAATAAAAAAAACACGGCAATCAATTTTCGAGTGTCATTAAAATGCAAATGTTCTCTATTTCTGGGTGACTATCGTCTCCTTAGACTCTGACCCATAGACTTCTCAGAGAGAGAGAGAGAGAAATTCTCCCAGATTTTACGACTTTGATACTGGTATTTATTTATATTTATATTATTTAATTATTTAGTGTTCTGTCTGACGACAGGTCCATATGAACAGGATCCTTCCATCCTTTTCTCGGACTGGGACCTGTTCATATACGTTCTTGGCAGACGATCTAGAAGTGGTTTGCCATTGCCTTCTTCTGTGTGTGAATGGAGTAATTGTTGGGATGCCACGGAGAAACCGGGGAAGCCCCCGGAGGAAAACTCCGTGTTGCCTAGACCACGGCCTTGTCCAACACAAGTTATAAATTCGGGCACCGCCGGGAATCGAACCCGAGACCCCAGGATTACAAGGCCAGCGTTCTAACCGCTAGGTCAGATTAGATTAGGTAAGATTAAGTAATGTAAAGAAAGCTCAGTGTTTGTACACATCGTGACATTTTTCTTGTAGTATCTTGGAACTTTTCAAAATATGTCACGATTGACATGCAATTTTACCAAAGACCAACTTAACAGTGGGCATAAGTAGAGTTCCCCGATGCAAGTAGCTAGACGCCCCGTATTAATTAATTTACGTGTTTGTTAAGCATTTGGAGTAAACGCCTGTCTTGATATTTTAACACCTCGAAGAGAAACAACGCATCTCCATTAAAAATAAACTTCCTGGGGCAACCGCGTTCATTTTGAACACGAAAACTTACGGGAGGGGGGGGGAGAGGAAGATATCAGATTCCTAGAGACGTGTTTGATTCCCGGTACAAAAATCTACGCCAAAATAATTGCGAACAAAAAACCAAATAGAGTGTCGCAAATTATCCATCGCCACCCATCAGTTCACTACATACAATCACCCTATCATCTCATTCGACGTTAAATAACCTCTTAAATTAATGCACAATCCTAAAATCCGCAGTTCGGATGCCAGACATTTTAAAACTTCCAAAACCGCCTGGCAACGTGACAGGTAAACCTCAGCAGCTATAACAGCGTCGTACAACAAACATCCATCGGACTGCGTAGTGGGCCACAGAAGTGGCGCTGATCAATAGCGTAGCGCAGGTCACGAAGGGATACCGCCCTGACGCTGCTCAGCGGGACTACATTACTCCGAGAAGTGACGATAAATCGGAAAAAAAAGGCCTTCGCGAAGCGGTCGTACTCGGAAGCGATGCATCTTCCTTCATCTGTTTCTTGCCTAACGAAGAAGAACATTAAGTCTTAATTGCGTTTCCAGGCACGAGTGCAATCAGACAGCGTCCGCCCACAAAACCACGAACGGAATTCAGAACTGACTTCAACTACAAGTCATAAAATAAGGACAGACTTAATTAATGTTAAGTTTTCTAATTCCCGAATCCCGTGCAACTCTTCGGAACGGATTTTAACGAGAAGAAGTTTTAGCCCCTACGCCCAAAAATCCCTTGTCGGCTCTTGAATCTTACAGTGCAAAATCATCGCTCGGTCACATGTCACACGTCGATGCTCCTTGAACCACCTCGCGTCCTTCGTGAAACAAAGGCATATCGTCGTCGGAACGGATTACGAGGCATGAAACATCATTCCCAGCTTTTGTTAAGACTAGCAACCATATCAGAACTGCGTGACATCAGCCAGGATTAAATGTCGTTGCCATGGAAATGACATCATGCTAATAAGAACTGATATATGTTTCTGCTGCGTCCAGATTAATTGTCGCTTAACCCGGTCCACCACGAAATGCGTTCAGATTGTCAACGAGACAAATGACGATAACAATGTGGCACTTGAAACAAGTATTTTGGGAATGTTTCTCCGACCCTGGTGACGTAATCTAGACCCCGTAACACTGAGGAGTGTTGAGCGTATTAGCTGCCGGTTTAACGAACTATATCCAAAATTTCCCGCGGAGGCTGAATTTAACTTCCCGTCTGCCAGTTTAATTCTATTTACTCCGCGGTTGTCATATTTTTCCACTGCAGAATCAACTGTCCGCGGCATTTTGAATCTCAGCGCTTCGTATCAGTTACTGGGCCCACTTATATCAACACTCAAGAAGATGGTTTTCTGCGTTTCAAAATATATTAACTCCTGAATTACATCAAACGCTGTAATCAGTTTCGGGAAATATGAAGAAAGCTTATGTCCGTGTATTGTAATCACCATTTACGTACCTTTGCCCAGCTAATGAAGATTTAATCAATGTCTTAACATTTAATGAGGTAATATCTTAAATTAGTATGTTTTTGGCTGACAAGAAATGGATTACGTCCCAACATCAATAATTATTGTAGCACCGTCTGCTTCACCTTGCCAACACAACAGGTAAATTTCCTTTTAAGATAAATGCAAATCATGGGTTTCCCGTGACTGTCAAACCGTCGATTTTCTCGGGGAGTTCAATGGGGTACTCACTGCTTGAACGGATTGTACGGGTGAGTAGGATGCGATGAAACTGCACAGAATCAAGTTATGTCTCTCAGTTACGTCAGTTTATAAATGAATGTTTTAATATTTCTACGCTAGATACAAGCAGTAGAAGTTGATAATGTCTCCCACCCAATGATACTCTTTCAACGAGGTTAAATTTGCGTGAAGCTAAGACTGAGGACAGGAGCTGTACATTCAGTCTTTCATACGTGTTGATTAAGCATTGGCTCCTTTATCTTGCCCATGCAGACACTAGAATAGCGTCTGGATATTAGACACCATCATATCGTCTCCAGCCATTCTTTAGCAAAGGTAGAAATTCTACAGAACAACGCGCGCCTGCGTCTGGCTCACTAGCCTACTCGCCACACAACAGTGTCAGAGAAGTTGCCTCTAGAGCACGGCGGTTTCAAGTTACGACAAACTTTTCATTTACGTGTCAATAAGTCTGGATATTTAATGTTGCTAAATATGGTTTTCTGGGACAGCCAGTCAGAAGTAAAACAGATATGAACAGTCACAACTGCAGAAACTGAAAGGAGGAAAACACACAAATAAAGGGGCAGAAATAAACACGTATAAGACAAAACAAACGATGTAAAAAGAGTAAGAAATAAGACAGGAAACATACGACATAAATGAATAGAAAAATATAAGACTCAAAAGTTGGCAGATAAACAGAGCACGTTCGAAAAATTAACTTTCAGTGACACGTACTCAAGGCAACTGAGCTTTTCCCGCGAGACACTCGTCGAATTTCACTTTAATTCCCCTTATCAAAAGGATAATACTGCTGCACTGCCTTGTCTTCCGAAACCATGGCCATTAATCATCTTAACGAAGTCGATTACGGGAGGCCATGCTCAGTACCATTACTTAATTATACCTAGCTGGCGTGGAAGGGAAATTTTGCAGTCTAGGATACCGGAGTACAACACATAAGATTTACCACTTCCCGTATTTTACTTAAACCCTTAATTATGTATCTTTTGTCATTCGCTTTTTCTGCAGGCACAGTATATTTCCTCACTAACCCTTATTATTTTTTTGTCGTTTTAGCAACCCTGCAAAGCGCCTATCAAAATATTACCGTCTGTCTGGATTTTGACTCTCTCTCTCTTTTACAGTTTTATATAAAAAAAAAGTCGAGTCATTTAATTTTAACATAGATCACACAGTTTTATCCACGACTTTACACAAAAGGGAAAATACCCTGTTGAGTTGGGAGATTGGATGCGTGACAACCAACAACAAATAATTGCACGTGAATTTAATGTTTTCTTATTACAAGGGAATCATTTATGTTGGTCGTAAAAATTAAAAACTACCCTATATTTCGTTAACATATAAATGACTTAGATCTTGGCAAAAATGTTCGGTGCCTTGTTACAAACTTTTTTTATGCTGATTATATTTGTGAGAAGTAGTTTATTTGTATCAGAGGCATTTTAATTTGAAGCCCATCCACTCCTATCTAAACTCACATATCTACAGCTGTGGAGTACCTCTGTGCAGTTGATGTGAAAATTATGAGCATTACTCCAAATTCTGAGTGGTTGTTTTTCCTTTGTAAATGACTACAAACTACCCCACGGGGTAGGTAAATAACAGAATGACGCGAGTTGAGTAAACTAATCAATTAAAGTTTCTGAAGCCGACACGAGAAATATTGTCCGTCTCTCTCGACCTTTGTAATTAAAACCACGTTACACAAAACGGGTTGAGGGAGGAATTTGCAATTTTCTTTTTGCAGCATTACAATCAAACCATAAAGTGCAATTAGCTAATTGGTTAGCATGCTGCGCTTGTGTGTGACCATTTATCATCGTCATTTTTACAGAAACTTTGCCATTTCCTTCCACGTCCTTTCAACTTCCTTGTTTTTACCACTGGGAGTGTCTTTAAATTAACCACAAGTATATAAAGAATCAAATAACTAAATTCAAATAGTTATTGACCTCCTTTTACGGTTGAGTAATTGGGGCCATGTCCTAATAATTACATATACTGCGTACAGATGGCAAATAAGTCTGCTTGTAGTTCGTGACCTTGTCGTTTGATGGTGGTGCAGACAGTGTTTGGAGAAAAATGTCCCTAGGATCTACTACAGTTCTAACCCAAATAGGGATAGTAAACATAATTCGTAAATAGGGCTAAGCGCAATTATCAAAGTCGGAATAGTGTTGAAGGTTTGTAAACGCATCTCATGGCTAATTATCTTTAAACATATGAGTCTTGCAAAGAGACAAGACGATTAAGCAAGATCATGTTATCAACGCACAGGACAGAAGTTAGGTTAAGTTTTAATGCCTAATTTATTTACTTTCAGAGATTACTAAGTTTCCGAAAAATTGTTGCGTTTATGGATGTTGTACAGAGAACATCACAGTGATGTATTTTTAAAAATGTCTTCCTGACGTGGTGACATTAGCTGTGAAGCAATAAATATGTATACATGCTTCTATTTGTGCAAAATTGTCAGTGGTTACAAATGTGCACATTAGTTAATACTCCAGCATTAACCCTTTTCCATTTCGGTTGATGTTGATATTACTGAAATCTGTTAGACCCAGTATTTTAATGAGCCCTTTAAACATAAAATGAATGCTTCGTGTTAGATTGCCAGTATTCAGGCTAGTGCAGATATTTAGAATCCTGAGCATTCTAAAATGCTTGGTCAGCAAAGGTTTAAACCTGCCATCTAGTAAAGAGTACGTGTACAGATATTATAAAGCAATAAATAATAATAATTACCAATAACAACTCAATGATAGTGTTTTTTTTTGTGGGGATCGCGATTACTCATCCTTTTGCTGTCCTTGGGGAACTTATTTTAAGAAGCCAATCCCCTCATTACGTTATTAAAATGGTTAAGAATAATTTGGTTAAATGGTCATTCTGGATGTAATTAAAAAGGAAGTTCAGTAAAACCTGGGTAAAATAATTATTTTTCAACTTTGGGTTGACTGTCAACCTGTAAGTCCAACTGTCATCCATAACTGACTGCCTACCAGTAAATCAGACTTAACAATTCAAAACAAAATAAAAAAATATGTAACATTTGTTTATATATGCAAGAGACTGCTTCATGTGCCAGATTAGTTCGCACTGTTAAAACATAGTTCTGCGTACCAGGAACATAAGATGTCTAATGATGAAGTAATCTGAGGTAGGGATGATGATAATGTTTTTCTGGGTTGTGATGCCATTTAAACAGTATTTTTCTTTGAAGTACTGGTATCCATGTATGAATCTGTATAGCATCATAAGCCAAAGAATAACACTGTCAATCTAAGTGATATTTTTTAGCAAACAACTGGTAGCACTGGTTGTCTGAAACTCTCATTGCAACTATTGCCCTGACAGATATATGTGTCAGAAATTTCTGATATGGTGCAGACTTTAGTACTTATGACTCAAAACAGAGAACAGTTTAGGCAACAGGCAAGCAAAATATCGTAAGCCTATTCACAAATATGACTGCAAACACAAGCCTCGTAGTCAAGATATTCTTGATGAGTTTCCAAGTAGGTCTGAATGCATTAAGAATGACTTCTGTTACATCCAGGATTTCTTTTAAACTGTTTTTATGAAACATGATGTTTGTGGATTCTGTAGTCTCTCAGCAATCCTGAGAACCATCTACAGAATGTGTATATGTCTTTAGGTTTGATAACTTGTTTTCCAGAAAGAGCAGCATCCATGCAGTGCCATCATGCCTCCCCATAAACTACCAAGAAGCCTTTTCAAGATCGCCTTAGGACATGTTGAAGCATTAGTGAATCTCTCGTGTAGAAACATAGAGAAAACATACGGGAATTATGACAAAAACAAATGTCGACAGGAGGTGGTATTACATCAGGAGTACCTACTGTCACATATACCAGGCATGGTTTTGGATGAAGTGTTTGAGATGCGGACTGCTGGCAGGCTTGAGCCCAGTAAACACGACATTAGAATCACTCTAGCACTGTATATGCATAACAATATGAGGAAGTTCAGTGTCAGTAATTGGCTAGCAGACTTGAAATATGACTTGGATAGTGTCTTTTGGGTTGAACGTCTGACGAGTATGCACAACTTGGTGGTGCTGAATTTACATCTTGTATGTACAGATGAAATTCTGGAAGTTGTAGGAACAAACTGTCTCAAACTGGAGCAGATAGACATCGTATCCAAGTTGGAACCAGTGCACACCATAAACGAGACACACAAAAACTTCAATGCTCTTAAACTGAAGTTTTTCGTTTCAGATGTAGGTCTGCGTTATTTGTGTAACTGCAAACTTCTCAGAAAGGTTACTATGAACAGGATTTTGCGTAGTCATTTAGGAGGTTGTATGATGACAATATCAGGGATAAGGGCTCTGGTCAAGTCGTTGCCACACCTCCAGAACATCACGTATGATGACATGGGGCTGGTGATTTCTGAAGAGATGGAGGATGTGAAGCAGTTGCCATTAACACATCTCAGTGACTATCACCCAAGACCAACCCATATTGCAGCAGCAGCACAACTGTGCTGCAACCTGCAGCATCTCTGCCTGTGGTTCCCCAACCAGACCAATATCTGCAGTGCCACAGACGTTTTGGAGTCACTAGCCAGTAGCGCCCTCAAAGTACCCATTCTTGAACTCATTCACTTTCCATTCTGTATTGAAATGGCTCATTTATTGGAGAGGAAGGGCAGTTTCTTGAGGAGTCTCCTAGTTGAAAATATGGATTACATATCTTTGAGAGTAGTACACCTCATTGGTCAAACATGCCCAAACCTCAGAAATTTACACTTAAAACAGCTGATGGAGGATAGCAAGCAGTCGAGTAGTCTGGAATTGTGCGAGCTGTTCCACACAGAGCACATGTTCCGTAACCTTCGTTGCCTGTACCTGAGAGGATGGAATTGGAACCCTGCTGAAGTGTTACCTCTTTGTTTGCAGCAAGCCAAACAACTGGAGACACTGAGTGTAGTGGACATGTTCCCCCAGAAATACCAAGATGATGTAATGGCTCATATTATAAGCACAAACCCTCTACAGGAATTGAAAGCCGTTCACATACTCACAGGGCGAATATTGTCTGTAACCACAATACGGTACTTTATCAAACACTGCCCTAAACTAACAGAACTATCTTTTGTACAGAATGCAAATATAACATCTACGCAAGTTAAGAAACTTTGTGATGAGGTTTATCAAAAGAATCTTGATCTGGAAATATATTCAATGGAAATGGCTGGACCAGTTGCTTAAATCTTATGTATGACCATTCAACTTGATGTACAAACTTTGCATTCCTAAGTGTGTAAGATGTCAATTCTGAAGCGCAACAAATAGTATTATTGTTATTTAATAAGTTTACATGATTTTGTGGCTCTCGGCTCTTTTACAAATATAATTACACCGGAGCTGAAGATGTGTTATACTTCGTCTTTGACAACTAAATATTTAATAAATCTTTGTCGGTTGAAAGTTTTTGTGTGTGGGTGTAAAAACTAAAGCCGTTCCACTATATGCCATGGAAGCACTTAGGGGGAGAGGTGTAGTTTCTACTCATGCTTGACCTTGGCACTAGATGGGATGAGCAGTTACCTTGAAGTTCCTAATTTCTCAATAAATTCTGCTGTACTTTTAGTAAAGAAACTCTGATTTAACCAAAGACAACGGTATTCATTTATTGATTTGCATACACAAGTTACAATCTCATTCATACTCTTCTTAATGTAACAAGTTAGAAAAAAAGTCAACTGGTAGTAATCATTGTGCATATATTTACATGTACATTAACTCCAAACACACATTTACAAAACTGAATACAATGTTTCTCTTAGACTGTTGTATGATAGGCATTAAAGAAGGCTCAAGTAAATTGGCCTTCCTCTAATCTTATGAAAACGGAGTTCTCTGATGGCCCGCTGTGCCTCAGATGGGCTAGGAAACGCCACTCGTGCATCTCCCGTGGCCATTCCCTTGTCATTGAATCGCCGTATGACACATTCACGGCTTACGTCAAAGTCTGCCAAGAACTCCAATATCTCATCAATATCAGCTCTAAATGGAATGTTTTCCAATGCAACAACACAGCCTGGCTTTCCAAAACCCTCAATCGGTGCAACTTGAGACTGTAGCGGCATGGAAACAGGATGTCTCCCCAACAGGGGCATGCGACCAAAAAGAGGTCCTGATGGTGAGATTCCCAACAAACCTACAGACCTGTTGCCAAAGTCCCTGGGGTGCTGCAGCCGAGTAAAGCCTAGTGGCTGCACGGGCAAGTCAGGTTGAGACACGATACCTAGGGCTTCATTCATTTCTTCTCTCAGAACTGCCTGTACTGTCACATCCTGTTTACCAAGAGGCATATTGTTCTTTGTACAAGACCGTGCTGCTTCCTCTATGTTGCTGAATTCACAAAATGCATCCCCAGTGGGTTTATTGAATTTGTCCAACATAATGTGAATACGCAGTGGCACCAAGCCAACATCTGAGAAGAAATCCAAAATGTCACGGTCATTTGCATCAACAGGTAGGCCCTTAAGAAGCACACAGTCTGTTGGAGGATGAAGTGCTTTCTGTGGTTTCTGGAGAGGCTGTTCTACTGTACCGCCATGACTGCGAGAGTCTTGAATTGGTGGTTTTGAATCTTGAACTTTTTCTATCACATCAGAAGTCTTTTCCTTGACTTCAGGCTCTTCCTGAGCCGTTCCATTTCGGTTTTCCTTCGCTGCCTGGAACTCTTCCTCTGAGCATGGGGCTACATTAACTGCCTTATGTCCAATTGTATGTTTCATATTGCAACAGTGAGCTTTCTTTGCATCTTCTGGTTTTGTAAATTTAACAAAGGCCATTTTCTGCTTTCTGTCATCTTTGGTTATCAACATAACAACTTCCTCTATGGGAATGTCTTGGAATAGTTTAATAATGTCCTGTTCTTTGGCATATGGGGGCAAGTCTTTAACACAAAGACATAAAAACTTTTCTGTTTCTTTCTTCTCTGGGATATCTGTTGTATTTACTATTGGTTCTGTTTCCTGGGGGGGTTTGTACGAATCAATAGCTTTGTCAAAAATGTCATCACTAAGGTGAAGAACCTCAACCACAGACCCTCGCATCATCTTTCCTGCGTATTTCAAAGCCTTGTCTTTGTCCTCTTGCTTCATAAATTTCACATAAGCTATCCCAACTCGATTCCCATGATTATCATTGATTAATTTGAGACCATTACCAGTTATATGCAGCCCATGGAAAAATCTTCGGATATCGCCATAACCTGTCTCAATTGGCATGTTTCGAAGCTCAATGGCAGTACCAGTGCCTTGTCTGGCTTCAGGCCTTTGCTCAAAGTTTCGATCTCCACCCGGATATCTGTCCCTCTGAAACCTATCTCCTGGGAATGTGCCAGATCTTGCTGGGCCGCAGTCGCCGAGTTGATCTCTCCCAAACTGGTCAACAAAACGGTCGTTTCTTGCAAAATCTTGTTCATTTCTGTCCATTCTGTACTGGTTTCTTCTGTCACCTGGCTGAAATGCGTTGCCACCTCGTCTCTCATCCATCTCACTTTGCATGAGGCCTCCCGGACCCATTCTGTCAATCATATTTCCACCTGCCAGACCTCCCATCCTGCCTTCCCTTGGAAGAAAGCCTCCTCTCCTGAAATCACCCATACCCCTGTAGTTCCCTCTGAACCCTCTTGGTTCCACCTCTCCAGGGCCATCATAGTCTTCAGCCTCTTTGAATACTCCTTGGCCTAGAGGGTAACCACCGATCCTCTCATTCCGTGAGAACCGACCCATATCGCCAGGCTGTCGCCCAGGAGGCCAGCTCTCTCGTCCACGTAGAGGCATGCAAGAATCTTGACCTCCAGGGTATCCCTCATTTCTCAGGTATGAATTCTGTATTGATTCTCCACTACAAACAGGGAGATTTCCTGACATGGGAGTTCTTATCATATCACCTGAAAAATTTGGTCCTCCCATAAGGTGTCTTCCATCCAAATCTCGTCCAGAAGTGGTCTCCAATGGCATCTGCAAAGGGCGGTTTCCTCCACCAGGCTTGAAGCCACTCAGATTGTTTCCCATGATAGGGCCCATTGGAAATTCCCAGACACCAGCATTCATTGAACCAGGCTGGGAGACTCCTCCTTTTCCTGGACCCTCCTGCAACTTTGCCTGGTTTAACAAACGATCTTTTGCTTGTGGAAACTGTGATAACAAAACTACATCCCCATTCTGATCCTTGGTTTTCTCCTCTTCATTTGCAGGAGTAACAGAGTCCTGTTTGGCATCTCGTGATCCTCTTTTAGAGTCACGATCTCTATCTCGACTACTGTGATCTCTGGAACGACTACGATCTCGTGACCTACTACGGTCCCGCCTGTCACGACGCCTTCTGTCACGATCACGACTGCGGCTCCTGTCACGGCGACGCCTGTCACGGTCTCTATCCCTATGTCTGTCACGGTCTCGATCCTTGCGATCTCTGCGATCTCCATCTCTTGAACGTGACCTCTCTTTTCTGTCCTTCTTGTCCTTACTGCTGCTGACACTGTCAGTGTCCTTCTTGTCACGCTCTGTTTCTCGAGAATCCCTCCTGTCAGACAATACAGGGGCTAGTTTTGCCATCTCTGTAGCTGTGACTGCTACTGATGCAGC